ATTCATTCCCCTATACTATGCTGGGGTTTTGTAGCCAGAAGTGGCCATCTTTGGATGAGAGATTGAAAAGCTAAGGTATCAACTAGCGCCAGCTAACTGTACTAGCAAGCTACATTACAGAGGTACAAACTGCTAAATAGTCATAACAGCCAATAAAAAGCTATAGCTTCACTCACAAAAGCTTGAACACAGAATTATTGGTCATTGAAGCAAGTTTTGCAGTTTTTTTTATTTTGCTATTTGATTGTGTTTTTTTTGTTTGTTTGTTTTTTTGGGGGGGGGGAGTTATGAACCAACTTGCAGCTTGGTTTGTTTGGTTTTTGTTTTTATTTACTTCTTGTTTGTTTTGTTTTGTTTTCATCCAGTAAAACAAATCTGTGCTTGGAAAAACATTTATTTATTTATTTTTGTGCAGAAAAAATGTTTTTAAAATTAAAAAGAGCATAGGACCCAGGATCATGTTCTGTGAAACATATCACTAGTGCTAATTAACCGGTCATTAGGTGTTAATGTTTTCAAATTCTGAAATTTTACTTGACCATTTAAACTTCACCTTTGCCAGTTTGATCAATAGAATAAATTCTGCTTGTTAGGAACGTGGAGGCTGATGTGGCTCTGCGGAGTACTGCAGCTGTGTACACCTACTGCAGGTCCAGAGGTTTGTTTGCAGGTATTTCTCTGGAGGGATCCTGCCTCATTGAACGCAAAGAAACCAACCGCAAGTATGGGGGAAAAACACGAATCAATCTGCTGCATGTCAGAAGTTTAACTAGTTCTGTCTTTTCCAAACAAGTGCTTGTCTTTAATCCAGTAGTGTTGTTGCAGATTCTACTCCCAAGACATCCGCGCATCTGCCATTTTGAATGGTGATGTGGAACCGCCGTCAGAGTGCTATGACCTCTACCACATCCTAGATGTCTACACTGAGGCCTACACCTCCGACTGGACAAGCAAGAACTTGCAAACTAGGGTACGCAAACCAAAAGCTTAACTCAAAAAGGAAAGGCAGCTATGTGTGAAGTGAGGATGGTTTCAAAAGATGCCCTTTCCAGATAGTTTCCAGTGTGCTCACTAAAGGGTAGGTGAGTGCAGGCAGCTCAGTTCAGCACACAGATTTTTCTAATACAAAGCCATGATGTTGGAATAGAGGCAGTATGCAGTTTAGCATCCATCTAAAATACCCTGACAATTACTGTGCTTTATTTTTTTACATAGTGGTTCAATAGTGTAGTGGTTTATGCATTTGCCTAACAAACAAACAATGGAGACACAAATTAAGTGTTGCTCAGTGACTGTTATACTGAATGTCATGTGATTTTTTTATTTATTTATTTATTTTTTGCCTTCATCTAATATGCAGTACATAAAGTGTACATTTGTGTTTGTCTCCAGTCATCCGTTCGCCCAGCCAGACCACCAGCTCCGATCCAGTCAAAGCCACCAAGCTACTCCGAGGTGTCAGCAGCCAGTGCCGGTAAAGCTCAGAAATACAACTGTTCAGGTGCTATTAATTTATGGACGAAATTGTCTGTAATGGGGTGTGTGTCTGTGTGTTTTTGCATCTATGTGTCTGAGTACAGGAGCTGGAGTAAGGACTAAAAACACTCTCTACCCAAGTGTCTCTGTCTATAAATCTGAAACCTCAAGTGAGTTTTACATTAACTTTCATTACTTACTCCTTACCAGCTATTCTTTTTTTTTTTTTCTTTCATTGTCATTTTGTGAGGACCGCTGTGACTCCTTGAGCTCACTTTCAAACTCAGAGGCCTCTGACTTGGTTTTGTTGCCCATGTTAGTAACTGGTTTTGGGTCTGGAGAATTCAAATCAACCAATTAGTACAAACATATTTTTCTTTTCTTTGGGTTTTTGCTTGCATCTTATTATAGTCAGAATTTGTAATTTTTCTTTTTTTTAATCCTTTTTGTTGTCATTTTGTTTTAAACCATTTTGCGTCCCATTTCAGGCAGATTTCCATGCCTTTTGTGGCCGTATTGTGTTTCTGTGGTCAGTTTGTGTCCCTTCATAATTGTTTAGCACGGCATTGTGGTTGTAATGGACGGCTTAACAACATCCTGGGGTTTTTTTTTGCTTGAGAAATGGTTAAACTGATGCAAAACAAAAAGAACAAAAGTTGTTCGTGCTCATTTTGTATCCCTTTTCTTTCAGTTTGTCAACTCTCCATGTGGTTGTTTAGCATCGTTTTCAGTCATTTTGTCTCCCATTTGTATTTACCTTGTTTTGTATCTTCATGTGGTCACATGGCACACCGTGTATTCAAGTCTGTTATTAACCCACGACCTTGATGCAGCCAGTACCAAAACCCATTAATAATCCTAGTGTTTTGTGTATGTACGTATGTGCGTGTGCATACTTCGGTGACACACACCTGTTCAAACAGCTACGTTGCGGGGACCTGACCCCTTTGTGTTGATAAAAGAGTCCTCCAAGGTAAATGATTAATTTTATGGTCAAGACGTGGTTTAAGGTCAGTGAGTCTTCAGCAAATTAATGTAAGTCAGTATGATTGCTTGTGCAGTGATAAACACATTAATATATTGTTATCAACTTTGGGGCTGCAGCTCTCTCTAGTGTTCGCAGCACATATCTGCAACTTAAACTGCAGCGCTATTTATTTTAAATAAGCTCTTTATTTAAACACTAATGAATAAATTTTAATGGAGGAAGATGGAAAAAGAGCATTAGTCTTTCATATTTCTTGTTTGAGAACTTATTTTTATTAATGTTTTCACAGCTGTAGATTAATTTTCTCCAGATTCATTAGCCGTGACTCAAATTGATGTTTTGTTTCTCTTTCAGGTAAGTTTGCCTCCAGAAACTCTCAGATGAACGGTATGAATATTTGACACATCTCACACAAAAAATTAGTCTAGTTAACAAGAAAGTTGAGGTGCTGTGCAAAATTTAAATAAAAGTCAAATGAAATGATCTGCAAATTTCATAAACCCATATTTTATTCACAATAAAGCATAAAAAACACATCAAATGTTTAAACTGAAAAAACAAACAAAACATAAGCACATTTTATATTTGATGGCAGCACCTCTTCATTTAACAGTAGTCCATAAAACTAGGAATTGTGGCAATGTATTGCCTGGTAGAAGATTCTAGCTGCTCAGTAGTGCTGAGTCTTTTCCCCCCCAAGGTTTAGCATTGTCTAGATAAAATGTGTAAAAATATATGTTGCTTTAAAACTTTTAGATACCTTCAGCACTGATGGTGCCTTTCCACATGTGCAAGTTGCCGGTTCCAAAGACACTCATGTACCCCCATACCTCTTGGACTAAATAGTGATAAGGAGCCTGTTTATCAAAGTTCTCTTAAGTTCCCAGGTTGTAGTGCCCATACACTAGAATTTCAAGAATTTCAAATTTGGATTCGTCTGACCACAAAACAGTTTTCTACTCTGCCTCGATCCCCTTTAATTTAACTTTGGTCTAGACAAGACATGGATTATGTTCAGATTTGTGGATGGCACAGTGAGTGTTCCTTAGTCCTTGCAGTGATTTCCATGACAGCACTGCCACCTGAGGGCCTGAAGATCATAGGCATCCAATATTGATTTTCAGCCTTGTCCCTTAATTTTTTCCCAGATTCTCTTAAGCTTTTGATGTTTTTATGTAATTTAGAGAATGAGATTTTCTCATGATCTAATTAGATGAAAAATGTGCCTCCAGCTGTTTTTTTTTTAGTAACCCTTACTATTTCATTCGTAACTAATTCAAAAGTAGCTTTTTTTCATGAAATAGTAAAATGTCTCAGTTTCAACATCTGTTTTCTATGTGTTATTGTAAATAAATATTAATATTCTGAATTGTACAACATAAATATATCAGACCTATGTTAAACAGTGAATTTGCAGTAAATTAAATCTGCTTTTGTCAAATGTTTGTTTTGTTTCTGTTTTACTTTCTTTGTTTTTGTTAATTGTAGATTGGGGATCATCAGAGGGTGGAGCCACTGGGCTGATGGTTGTCACAGCGACACATCCCTTTGCAGGGGAGCAGCCAGGTGACCTCAGCTTTGTTCCAGGCGACCGTATCACTGTCATCACGAAGACAGACTCCCAGTATGATTGGTGGGAGGGGCAACTGGAAGATGGTCGGGTTGGGATCTTTCCTGCAAACTTTGTTACATATTGATACTACTCTCTGGGTGTCTGACAGAAAAACATCTGAAAGAACCAATATTGGGTAAAATGAGTTTGGAACGTGGTTGTTCTGTTAGGC